CCTTCCTTGCTCCCCCGTCCATCTGGGAGATTGTCAAAATTATGGTCCCTTTTTGGGTCCCCTAAATTAGGCCCCGTATTAGGCCCCGTATTATAATAGGGACCCAAAAAGGGACCATAATTTTGAAAGTCCCCCAGATGTGTAAGGGTTTTGGAGTTTGAGGGGCGGGCTGTCAGTTGGTTTCCGGACTGCCTGCTTATTCTAGGCAGTTCTTGGCTGGGTTCAATGTTTGGGAAAGACGTGTTGGGACTACAAAAGTATATGGTAGTTTCCCAAAGTAAGGGAACCCCAATATAGACCCCAGAATACTACAGTCCTTATTATTGGGACCCCCAAAATGGTACCCCTAATTTCGGGAAACCCCCATATAGAGTAAGTGGAATGATGATCGGAGCTCATCTTGGGCGACTTCAAGTTGAATGGACTTATATGAGCCATTGTCTAAACTCCTAGTATCCCCCTTAATAACCCCTATAGTAGTCCCCAATTTAATCCCCTATATAACCCCCCTTTAAGGAGTTTAGACTATAGGTCATATGGATTAAGGATTAACTTCGATGAGGGGGAAGCCTTTCCTACATTGTATTTGCGACATGTAAACTGTAAACCTTCCTCCCACACACAATAGCTATGAACAGTCAAAAACGATTGAGGCTCGCCTGCCAATTTTTCAAATCACTCCGGTGCAGTCCCTGATAATAAGCCCCATATCTCACGAAAGCACCCTCAAGCCCCCTCCATCCCCGCATCCCTAAACCCTAAACGCCCTCAACCCTCCCTCCAATCATGTTGCGGAGTTACCAGCTTGTGCATTGGGGCCAGGTCATTCCTCACCTTGCTGGTGGCGAGCATCGAAGGAAGGAAAGTGATCTTTTCCAAAGGGAATGTATAAAGACGAGCATGGGTTGCTACGAAGGTGACCATGGGGAGTACTACATAAAGATGCGTTTCCCCATTCTCCAATAACTCTAAACCCCTAAAACCTTAACCCTAAACCTTCAACCCTAAATACCCCTAATCAAACCCTAAACCCTAAATGGTCCTAAACCCTAAAATCCCTAAATAAACCTAAACCCTAAAACCCACCAGCGAGTCACATCATTCCGGGCTCTCAAGTCAAGGTCTTCGGGGGACAGGCGTGCAGTGGTACCCGCACCGCAGGATTGAAGCGCTGCCAATAACCTACAAATGGGGGTTTCCCAAAATCAGGGGTACTTTTTAGGGGTCCCCAATAGTAAGGACTATAGTATTTTGGGGTCTATATTGGGGTCCCCTTATTTTGGGAAACTACCAAATCTCTTTAAGGTTTAGGGCTTTAGGATTAAGGGTTTAAGGTTTGGGTTGGGGAGCCCCCTGTAAAGGGCTTAGGGTTCAGGGTCTGGGGCTTTAGGGGGAAGAGAAAGTGTGCGGGCTTGCGGATACGTGGGGTTTAGGGTTTAGTGATGTACAGGAGGGGGTCTGAAATCCTCCAAACTAGCATGGGGACCATAAAGACTACAGTGCTTGTAGAAAAAGACTCCATCAAGCTTCATGTCGGGGTAGAATCGAATTTTCAAAGAACCCCACCTCCCAATCGTGGCCTCACCATTATTGGCGACATCCAAGATGTCAAAGAGTGCCTGAGTCGGCACGCCCGCCTGAAGTTCTACCAGACGAAGATCGGAAACCTCTTTGCCATCGCAGAGGCCCACATCAATCAGCTGTTGAGCAAAGGCATTGCTGTCCATGACTTTCAGGTAATCCACACCAGCGAACGCATCCGTGATATGTTCATGTTGCTGGCAGCAGATTACACGCAAGTCTTCCAGCACAGCAGACGGCGAGAAATGTCGAACCCCTCTCACGAACTCACGTACCGATAGATGTCCATCGTGGTCAATATCTATCAAGTTGAAGAGCACCTTTGTCTCCTTCTCGCTCATGCTGAGGGGAAGGAGCAACTCTTGGAAGTTCTGAAGGTTCAATCGTGGCGCCGACTCGCACTCATTCAAAGCACTGTCATGAAAGGCATTGGCAAACTGTGCCTTGAAGCTACGGAAGCGTTGCCTCACCTTCTTCCGGAGGTCTTCTAGGAACAGGGAAGGCTCTGACAGCCCAATTGCGCAAACAAATTCGTTGCGAGAAATCTCCCGGGAGCCATCCACATCAATCTCCCGGAACATCTTCTGCGCTTCCAGCTCCGACAGGTGAAGACGATCCATTGCCTTCACCACAAACTCATACTGATCTATACATCCGCTCCTGTCCATGTCTAAGTCTGCAAAGGCTTTCTTGAAATCCCCATTGTAGCGCTTGTGCAACCTATCGCGCAGGTCTTCCAGCAGCAAGCAAGGTGAGACCACCGCCACTGCGCTTGCCAAGTCACCAATAGTAACGCGTGCCTTGCTCTTCTCTGTCTTCCCACTTTCATAGCACCTCATGCTGATTTGAACATAGGAGTTACGCTTTGATACCCCCTTGCGGTGTCGTCATTGTGTGGTAGGTAGGGACAACGCCTTTTTCGCATCCTTACCGCGTCGTCCTTGTTGTAGGTAGGGACCCCCACCCAAAATCTCGATGCTCTCGAAAGCAATATGCATCAGGCATATAAAGCAATGCCAGTTTCTAATTGGCACCCATAAACAACATGGTACCACAAAATACAACCAAACAACTTCGGATCCTGACGGACTCGTAGAAAGGGACCATTGACCTAATTCCATGCAAGATGCAAGGACTTGAAAGCCGTAAGCCGTAAACCCAAAGCCCTAAACCCAGAACCTAATTCCACCCAAGGAACAGGGACTTGAAAAGAGCCAGGTGTTCCTCCGGGTCAGTGACATTGACACGCAGCAGCCTTTCCCCGAATTCCTGAGTTGCATGTAGGAAATTATTTTAGTTACTATAATGGGGGAACCATACTAAGTTGTACATATACCCATTGTGGTAACTCTAAACCCTAGATACCTCATGCATACCCATCATGGTAGCTTGGTTTAAGTTCCTTAGCAGCAACCCAGATTCTTGAAGCGTCAAGCGCAAGGAGAGTGCATGAGTGGAGTTCTCCACCATGGTCATGATAGCCTGACAAAGGGGTTTAGGGTTTAGGGGTTTAGGGTCCTACACCCTAAGCCCCAAACCTGAAACCCTACCTATACCCTGATCAACCTTGACCCTCATCCCTACTGCGCTCTTGAAGTCCCCGGAACATTGGATATAGTATTTTGGAGTCTATATTGGGGTCCCCCTATTTTGGGAACCTCCCAAACCCTAAATAAGAGCTTCCATGTTCATTCCATTATTCCCACCCCTATTTACATAACCCCCATATAGCCCCAAGAAAGGGGGAACTACTCAAATCTTGCCTAAACCCCAAACCCTGAACCCTAAACCCTGAACCCTAAACCCTAAACCCTGAACCCTAGCCCTAAACCCTGAACCCTAAACCCCAAGTCTTGCCTGATGCATGGAGCCGAACTGACTCGCCAGCCAGCGCCTTCGAAGATCTTCCACGCTGCGGACTGGAGCCGAAGCCTCGACGATGACATAGAAGCCCACCTGGGTTTAGGGTTTATTTTGGTGGCTGGTTCAGGGTTTAGGGTTTAGGGTTTAGGGGGTTTAGGGTTTAGCTTTGGTGGTTGAACCTAGTAAGATTATATTCCTCATATAAGATACTATAGTTCAAAAGGAGGATGTAATCTTACTCTATATTGGGTACCATAGTATCCCCAAATAAAATACTGCCCACCTGGGTTTAGGGTTTAGGGATGTTTAGGGTCTAGGGTTCAGGGTTTAGGGTTTAGGGTTTGGGGATTGGGGTTTGGGGTTTAGGGTTTAGCTTTGGTCTAGTAAGATTATATTCCTTATATAAGATACTATACCCCAAAAGGGGGATATAATCTTACTCTATATTGGGTACCATAGTATCCCCAAATAAAATACTACCCACCTGGGTTTAGGGTTTAGGGTCTAGGGTTCAGGGTGGTTCAGGGTTTAGGGTTTGGGGTTTGGGGTTTGGGGTTTAGGGTCTAGGGTTTAAGGTTCAGGGGTTCAGGTTTAAGAGTTTAGGGTGTAGGGGTTTAGGGGCTTAGGGTTTATTTAGGGTTTAAGGTTCAGGGTTTAGGGTTCCGGGTTCAGGGTTTAAGAGCTTAGGGTTTAGGATGTAGGGGTTAGGATTTATGGCTCCTGGAAACCCACCGGGTGGTCATTTCACCCCTTGTTGGGATTATACCGTGGATGGAAAAGACGATGAAAGCTCTAGTCAGGGTTTAGTGTTTAAGGCTTAAGGGCAGTAAGGGCTATAACCCAGCTGGCTGTCTTTTTCAAGTTTGGTTTTGGGGGCAAGAAGGGCTGTAGAGGTTGAGATGTGGAGTTTTGAGAGGCAAACCCTAAACCCCCTTTTTGTGCATCAGGGCCTCAATACTGCCCTAAACCCTGAACTCCCTAAACCCTAAACCCTAATTCCTCAAGCCCAAGGTAGGCACCAAGTTACCATGGTCACGCGGCCGACGGACTTGAAGTCTAAACCTCATGTCTCATGTGAGCTATAGTCTAAATTCCTAGTATCCCCTGTAATAAACCCTAGAATATAGGGTTTAGGGTTTAGGGTCAACACTCCTAGTATCCCCCTTGATAACCCCTAGAATAGTCCCCTATAGAATCCCTATACAACCCCCCCCTTTGAGGGAGTTTAGACTGTAGCTCATTTGCGTGTGTCAAGGTTTGCAACCGCGGGCATGCCACAGCAAGCACGCATGTTAGGTTTGGGGGTTTTAGGCCCTCTCGCACGTAAAGCAGAGCCCAGGAAGATGCTCTTCCAAATCATAGTTCCTGTCACCATGTTGACACCTGATCGTAACTTCAGCTTGTCGCTGGTAAGACCATCTCGTTCGCTTTTTAATACACGTCCTCCATGAATGCTTGATTCTGTGTCATAGTCTCCATACATTGTCGTAGGGTTGGGATTCAGATCCCTGCAGCTCAATCTTCAGAAATCCCCATCCTTGCCATCAGACAACAAGCCGATAAGCTAAACATCCAAAACCCCCTAAATAGGGGGACCCCTATATAGACACCAAAACCATCCTTATCATGGAGGGGGGCCCCAATATAGACCCCAAAGATGTGCTTATTATATAGAGAGGGACCCCAACACCGAAACCCTAAACCCTAATCCCCAAACCTAAACCCCAAATGGGGGATGGTCAAAATTATGGTCCCTTTTTGGGTCCCCTAAATTAGGCCCTGTATTATAATAGGGACCCAAAAAGGGACCATAATTTTGACAATCCCCCAAATACCTTCATCTTTGCAATCTGACAACGATCGAAGATCGTGTCTCTGGCGTCCTTCGACTGCCACTCGAAGCCATACTTCGCGAGGGTCCGGCTCAGTTCGAGCTTGGTTATCTGCCTTACTGGTGCTTAGGGTTTCGGGTTTAGGTGGGGAACATACTGGGGCTATGTAGGGATATTGCAAAACAAAATGGAAAGTACTACATGATGATAGGATATATATTGGGGTTATAGGAGAGAATAAGTGAATATATTATATAGGGATTATGCAGGGATCATCTTACCTTATTCCCCATTAGCCGCCATTCAGCGGCCGAACTGTTTACTTCAGGGATTAAACAAAAAACAGTGTGGGCCTTTGGGGATTGAAGAGTTCAGTCGCTTTTCTTTCGGGGGTTGCGTAGGTGTTAAGGATTCGGGTTCACAGTTCCCACTGACTGCGAAGTCTAGAAAGTTACATGCAAAGCTCTGCATTCGTGGAACTCTCCATGGGGGGCTCTTCGTCACGAAGCCTGCAGTTTCACCCTCAACCTCAACATATACCCTGTTATACTATAGTAGTTTCCATTTTCTTTTCCATTCTCCCAATATAACCCCAATACATACTCTATTCCCTATATAATATATCCCATATTCTACCTACTTGAGGGGGACTATACACCCCCCTATTCTACTACAGTAGTTTCCATTTCCTTTTCCATTATCCAAACCCCAACCCTCAGCCATGAGCCCTACATCCTTAGCTCAAAACCCTAAACTCCAAACTGTATTATGGTATATTTTGGTATATTATTGTAAATTATGGTATGTTATGGTATATTATGGTATAGTATGGGATATTTGTGGTGGATTATGGTATATCATGGAACCCTAAACCTATCCCTGATGTGGCCTGTCCGGGAGGTCCTTCATGAAGCTCTCAAAAGCTTCCTTGACAGTACTGAACTTCTCCAAGATCGCCTTGTTGGGCAAGAAAATTCAAATCACCAATCGCTTCAGTCACAGCTAGCTCTTGGGCTGCCGTCGCTGGCCTATTTCTAGTGCTTTCCTACTGTAGCCCCTAAACCCTAAACCCCCCTAAACCCTAAACCCCCCTAGATCCTCAAACTGTACCCGCTCAAACTGTCTTGTATCTGAGCTCTGCGCGGCCGTAGAGTCTGAACCCTAAACCCTGATCAATGAAGCCTTTTTTCTTTGCATCTGGACTCCCTAACCCAAAGCCCATGAACCCTATACCCATCTGGGCCGCCTTCCGGAACTCCTCCATGGCTCCTCGCGAACCGATCGGAGTCACCACTGCCGTGTTCCTAGCATCCCAAAGTCTCTCTATTGGGGTTTGGGATTTGGGTCTAGGGTTTAGGAGTTAGTTCAGAAGGGTTTCAGTTACGTACCTGTTTTCATTTTGATATGTACCGTGAAAACAGTTTGCATGACCTAAAACGGTGAGTCCGTAGGGTCCAAGTAGGGATTATGGGTGACATGAAGGACCTTGGGATATCTGTATTTGTGTGTCTCAAAAAGGGGTTCAAAGCTGAAGCTCACATTTCCAATTAAACACACACAAAGCATACTAGGTATGCCTGCCAAAATAGTGTCCCTACTATAAGAACAATAGTGGAACAGAACCCGAAACCCTAAACCCCAAACCCTAAACCCAAAACCCTGAACCCCAAACCCTAAACCCCAAACCCTGGGTGTGGCCTTGCAAGGAAAGCCCAATCTCGACTATCAGATTCCAGCTGTTCCGCCAAGGAGTGGGCAGGACGTCTTTGGAAAAGAGCAGCTGAAAAAGAGGGTTATATAGGGGCTTAAAGGGGGGTACAAGGGGCTTTAAGGGGGTTATAAAGGGCTTAGAGATTAGGGTTTAGGGTTTAAACTCCATAAAGGAAGTTGGCTATATAGGGGATTACTCATGGGACTCGTACAGGGGTTATAAGGGGGATTTACTGGGAATTTAGACTATAGCTCATGTGATGTCTGCCACGCTTCGACACGACCACCATTTCTATTGCTTTTTTCTTTCCGATGCCAAATTACATATTCAGGTCTTGTATGCCTACGGATGCGTGTATGTGTTAATGCTCCGTTGCTATATACTACAGGGACCTATATAATTACCAATATCATTTTGAGGTCCGTTTGAGGTACCATAGGCCATAATTACATAAGGAATATGGAGCTATACGATTGGCAATTATTTAGGCCCCTATAGTAACCGTGAAAGGCATTATGAATCGGAGTAGCCCTTGCTTCCGTGAGGCATTCATTCAACCTCCACCAGAACCGACGTGTGCCACCAACTTCATAATTTGCAGCTATCAAGGACAATGAAAAATTGTGTCGATACTGTAAATACGGATGCACGTTTGATCTTCAAATGGTTTCACATGTCACACTTCCCCCTCGACCCTAAAGCGCGTGTGGTATTCCTTTCTCGACCCTAACCCAGACCCCCCAAAGGATCCAAAAAATGGAACCTCCCCAATATGAACCCATTACTACATTGGGGTAACTAGGGGATTACTAGGGGGTTCCATTTTGTGGATCCTTTAGGGGGTCTGGGAAACAGTGTGTGGTATTCCTTGCATCCCGGATTCAGGAGGGGCGACAGCGGACTTCGTATGGACGCCGGCTGTGATGCTTTGATTTTGAAATTGGGTGTACCTCGGTTGAACATGGAACCCAGAAAAGGGGCCTAAAAAGATCACTGTGAGTTGGCTACAGCGGCCTGTCAGCAATTATGGGAGAGGGTAAGGAATCTGATGCGAAGCACATCCGCCATGAAGACCGTTTGCTTGGTAGGGATCTCTTTCATCTCCCACAACTGCTTAATAGTTCCCGCGTTAATGTTGTTTCATCATCCCTGGCTTCGATCCACCTCGAGTTGGCTCCAATCTTCCTATACTACCAGCTACATTCCCCCAAACTGACATGAAAACCCACATAGTGCCCGTTTAGAGGGACTGTAGTCTTTATAGGGCCTTTTTGGGGTTTCCATGTTAGTTTCCGGGAGTGTAAGATTTACATCACTTAGCAGGAGCAACCTCGAGCCCATTCACCCCTTCTTGCATCTGAGCTTGTTCGCTCCAGGCCCAATCCTACACCCTAAGCCCAGACCCTATAAACCCTAATAATAATAAGTAGCCTAAACCCACCCCAAACCCCACCAAAAACACATAGAAACACTAAATCCTACATGAATAGCTTCCATATTCTTGACCCTGAGCCCAGATACTTGCAGACTCCCTCATGGGCTTGCTCAGCGAGGCTCGCCGACCTCCCAGGTTGAAAGAGGCCATGGATTGGCGACGCCTGGGTCACTTAACTGGGTTGCTGTGAAGGAACTTAATTTGAATTACTATATTGGGGAAACCATACATATAACTACATATATCTACACACCTAATCTAGTCACTATATTGGGGAAACCATACATACTATATATATAATATACATACACGCATTATAGTAACTTGAATTAAGTTCCTTAATAGCAACCAAGTTGAGGGTTTGGGTGGTGCAAAGGTTGAAGCTGGTTTGAATTTGAGGCCTCAGGTTTAGGGTTCCAGGAGGGGTTAGGATTCAAGGTTTTGGTCTGCTTTGTAGGTGGGGGCAGGTAAAGCCTGTAGAAGAATCAGATCGCAGTGTAGGGGAAATACAAACTTATAGCAAGGCATTGTACCCCTGTATGAGCTGAAACTGCAGCCATCTCGCACTTATCTAGTTACGAGTTATCATAACTACACACTTGTACCTCCGAGTAGCTTGAAGGAACGGTCATATAGTCCCCTGTAGGAACACAAAGGAGGACTTCTGGGGATAGGACGGCTGCCAAGTACATGACATACTCATGGATGTACTACAGGGGCCTAAATAATTACCAATATCATTTTGAGGTCCATTTGAGGTAATTACCATATACAATAATTAGACCATGGGTATGGAACCAGAATATTGATAATCATCCCTATAAGTCATTATAAGTCCCTATATAAACCCAATTTCCATGTCATTTCCGTCTTATTTTCCATTTGATTCTCCACTATTGGGGATCATATCGGTAATTATTTAGGCCCCCCCTAAACCCTAAACCCCAAATCCTAAACCCTAAACCCTAAACCCCAAATCCTAAACCCTAAATCCTAAATGGAACCATAATATTGGTAATTATTTAGGCCCTAAACCCTAAACCCTAAATAGTAGTTTCCATTTTCTTTTCCATTATCCCAATATAACCCCTATGTAACCCTATATACTATATGCATTTACGAGTATCAGGTGCAGCCTAGGAGCCCATGCCTTCCGGAACGGCCCACGTCTTCATGCTTGGCGTTGGGGTTACCTTACTCCACATTACCCCAGGAAGAAAAAAGGGATCCTTTTTTTCATGAATATAAGGAATCCTATTACCCAAAAAAGCATAAAGGATCCCTAACATTGATCCAGTTACGTGGGAAGATGCGATTCAGCACCTCACATGTCAGCCGGTTACTGCGGGAGCACCGCGAAGCTAGTTGCAAAAGCAACTCTCTAACACCCCAACACCCAAAGTTACAACCCCAATATACTTTAGTAGTTTCCATTCTATTTTCCATTATCCCGATAAAAATATAACCAACCCCTATAGAACCCTCTACTGGTGAAGTGCTCCAAGGGTCATCCCCAACAAAGGCTTCCGTCGCCAGCGGCTGAACTTCTTCCATCGCCTTTTTTTCAGCCATGAGCCGCTGGGCCTTCTCCCGGGCCCGGGCTTTTTCAGCTTCGGTTGGCCCTCCTAAACCTGGGCTGAAGGAAAGTAAGCTTATATTGGGGTTATATGGAAAATGGAAACTACTGTAATGGGCTGTATAGGTTATAGAATATGTGGTATATGGGGATAAGTAAGCTCTAAGCTTGGCTATCTTATTATGGCTTTAGTAGATCATCTATTCCGGCTTCCTTACGATGAACTTAATTTGCTCAAGTTCCTTAATCACATACGTCAAGCTCTCAATTATGCACTACTTGTTCTGGTTGCTGAAAGAACTTCAAACAACATCCTCAAAAGCAACCACAGTAACTCTCCCTAAAGCGGGGATGATGGAAGAATTGGCCCTTGAGCACGGGAAGAGCATGCCAGTTTTCATCTGACAAATTCTGCCGCAGGTCACCGAAGGTTTGCCAGTAGACCTATGAGGATCCAGGGCTTCAGGAAGTGAAGGGCCCCTCTTAGACTGTAAGGTCCCTAAAGATATATGGGGATATAGTTGGATTCTAGAGATTTGAGGGGTCGCACTTAGGACTTTGTTTCAAGGAATAGTTTGCGAAGCTTCCACCTGGGATTTCTGGTCAAACTCACTGGACGGCAGAGGCCGTGTTTTGAAGCATTGCAGCTCATCCGCAGAAAATCGCTGACTGGCTGGCTTCTCCCGGAGCCTAGGGCCTTCCCAGGTTTTTTTTTGGAGTGGAAAGCAGAGGGTTCTATAGGGACTGGCTATATTGGGGTGATATTGGGATAATGGAAAATATACTGGAAACTACTATAGTATATTGGGGGTATATGTGAAAAATCAGAAGCATGAGGAAGGCGTGGTAGTACTGGGATCTCGTCTCTCTAGACTAGTGTTGTTAATTCTCATCAATATCCCTAGATGAATTAACATACTTATATCATCTGGACCCCTCCTTTAACAAAAAGCCCTCAGACCCCCATTAACCCAAAATGTACTGCTAATATGGTACCTTCATTAATTCAAGGGATGAATTACCAGGCCATGGCATGGCTTGAAGCCGTAAGCCCTCCTCGACCCTTCGTGGACTAACAACCCTAAAGACCCTAACTCCAGCCTTACACCACTGAGCCACCTAAACTCCCACCCCGGAACCCTAAGCCCTAAACATCCTAAACCCTAAGCCCTAAACCCCAAACCCAAACTCCCCAAATCCTTCCCTAAATCCTATAAGCCCTAAACCCCAAATCCTAAACCCAAACCCTGTAAGCCCCAAACCTTACCGGCCCCTTAACAGCGGCCTTGCCTTGCTCACTTTGAGGCCTCGACAGCTGCGGCTGGCTAGCCGAAGTGAACAGGGAGGAGTCGCTTGCACCTCGAGAGGGATAAGGTTTAGGGTTTAAGGTCTCGCGTAGGCCTAGGGGCTCTACCACGGAGTTCACACAGGGGTCCCTTTTACACACAGCAAGCACAAACAAGAGAACAAAGAAGGTCCGAATTCTACTCTACAATCTCTACATCTTTAAAATTAAATGCCGTGTGTCGCCAGGGA